GGTGCTGTGACACTGGGGTGACATTGGGGTCCCTGCCTGCGGGTGCTGTGACATTGGGGTGACATTGGGGTGACATTGGGGTCCCAGTTTGAGGGTGCCATGATATTGGGGTCCCAGTCTGACACGCCGCTGTCCCCGCAGTTCGCCCTGTTCCAGCGGATGACGCAGGCCGCCATCCTGATCCAGAGCAAGTTCCGAAGTTACGCGGAGCAGAAGCGCTTCCAGCGGCGCCGACGCGCGGCCGTGCTCATCCAGCAGCGCTTCCGCAGCCTCCGCCAGCACCGGTGTGACACCGGGGGGACACGGGGGGGACACTGGGGTGACATCGGGGTCCTGACCCTGTCCTCTGCTGTCCCCAGAAGCACCTTCCTCACCCTCAAGCAGGACCAGGCAGCCCGGAAGATCATGAGGTTCCTGCGGCGCTGCCGCCATCGGTACGGGGGATTTGGGGGCTGTCCTGGGAGGGGTCCGGGTGGGACAGAGCGATTGWAGTGAAATGGGGACATTGTGGGACAACACAGGATTGAGGTGTGGTGTCACGGCTGGGAGGTGTCACACGGGGCTGGGTGGACAAAGGTGACACTGTGTGGGGGCAGACTCAACAGAGCCTGACCCCCCTATGCCCCAATTGCTGTTTCCTCATTTAGGATGGAGGAGCTGAAGCAGAACAAGGAGGTGGACAGTTTACAGACGCGGGGCCTGGCTTCGTGACCCCTCCCACGGGGGATCCAGGCGTTGGGGGACCGAGGCAYGGGGGCCTCCCCTCCCTGACCCCCCCAGGCCTTTGGCATGTCCGGGTCTCCCCGGAGGACTCGTGGGGAGGGGAAGAAGGGGGAAGAGCCACCCACGCCCCCTTGCCCCCTTGCCATTCGCCCCTGAATCCTGCCCAGTTAACACTGTTTGCACACTCTGTAAACAAGAACAGCTTAAAGCATAATTAAAGCAGAACACAGGCCCATCTTGAAACCCGCCCCGCATGCCCCACTCCCCCCCACCCCCGCCCCATGTGGGCTCTTTGTACAAAGTTCCATTAAAAAATACGAGGAAGCGGGAATAAAAGAGCCCGTGCCTGTGTGTGGTGTGTGTTTGTGGGGAGGGACAGACACTGCGGGCGACGCGACGGAAAGAACGCGCGGAGTTGGGAGGGTGTGTCCTTTAATGGATAGGCCACGCCCCTTGGTTAGTAGGACACGCCCCTTGGTGAGCAGTCACGCCCACCCGTGACAAGGCCACGCCCCTCGGTGGCCAGAACGCGCCCCTCAGTGACAGCCACGCCCCTCGATAGCCTGGTCACGCCCCTTGATGACCAGACCACGCCCCCCCGATGACCAGACCACGCCCCTTGACGACCGAACCACGCCCCTTGGTGACCAGCCACGCCCCTTGGTGAGCAGGCCACGCCCTTTTGTGACCAGGCCACGCCCCTGTGTGATCAGGCCCCGCCCACTCGGCGCTCCTCTCAGATCGCCCCGCCCCTTGGTGATAAGACCACGCCCACTCCGCGCTCCTCTCAGCTCGCCCCGCCCCTTTCCCCATTGGCCGAACCCTCGTACGCGATGACGCAGGACGCCGGGGGCGTGGCCCTCGCGCCGCCTCAGGCATCACCCCGTTCGCAAGATGGCGGAGCTGGATCTGCTGGGTTCCATCCTCAGCTCCATGGAGCGGCCGCCCGCCGCTGCCGACGGCGAAACGCGGCGCCGGGCGCGGGGTCAGCGGGGCCGGGAAGGAGGGCGGGGGAGGAGCGGGGAGGGAGCGGCGCGTTCCGGGGTGTCCCGGCCCTTTCGTCGTCATAACTTCCCTCAGCCCCGGGGTCCGCCCTCACGAGAGGCCGCGTCCCCCGCGGGGTGTCCGCTCCGCCCTCAGCGCGCTAATCTTGCGCTCGCTGTCCCGATGGACACCGGGACCCCTCTGGCCCCGACCCCGCAGTGGTCACGCNGATGGACACCGGGACCCCTCTGGCCCCGACCCCGCAGTGGTCACGCGTTTTTACCCCCGTATTGCGTTTCTGGCCCTTTGAAAAAGCCCCCGGGACAGTGCCGGCCCCGCTCCCTCCACCCCCGGAGGTTCTGGGGAGGGTCTCCACTCTTCTGTCCCATTGAAAAAGCCCCTGGGACAGTGCCCTCCCTGCCCCCCGGAGGTTCTGGGGAGGATCCCCACCATCCTGACCCTTTGAAAAAGCCCCCGGGACAGCGCTGGCCCCGCTCCCTGTGCCCCTCGGAGATTCTGGGGAGGGATCCCCGCCATCCTGACCCTTTGAAAAAGCCCCTGGGACAGTGCCGGCCCCGCTCCCTGTGCCCTCCGGAGGTTCTGGGGAGGGATCCCCGTCATCCTGACCCTTTGAAAAAGCCCCCGGGACAGTGCCGGCCCCGCTCCCTCCACCCCCGGAGGTTCTGGGGAGAATCCCCACTCTCCTGACCCTTTGAAAAAGCCCCCGGGACAGTGCCGGCCCCGCTCCCTCCACCCCCGGAGGTTCTGGGGAGGATCCCCACCATCCTGACCCTTTGAAAAAGCCCCCGGGACAGCGCTGGCCCCGCTCCCTCCACCCCCGGAGGTTCTGGGGAGGGTCTCCACCGTCCTGACCCTTTGAAAAAGCCCCCGGGACAGCGCTGGCCCCGCTCCCTCCACCCCCGGAGGTTCTGGGGAGGATCCCCACCGTCCTGACCCTTTGAAAAAGCCCCCGGGACAGCGCTGGCCCCGCTCCCTGTGCCCTCCGGAGGTTCTGGGGAGGGATCCCCGCCATCCTGACCCTTTGAAAAAGCCCCCGGGACAGCGCCGGCCCCGCTCCCTGTGCCCTCCGGAGGTTCTGGGGAGGGTCCCCACTCTTCTGTCCCATTGAAAAAGCCCCTGGGACAGTGCCCTCCCTGCCCCCCGGAGGTTCTGGGGAGGGATCCCCGCCCTCCTGACCCTTTGAAAAAGCCGCCGGGACAGCGCCGGCCCCGCTCCCCGTGCCCCCCGGAGGTTCTGGGGAGGGATCCCCGCCATCCTGACCCTTTGAAAAAGCCCCCGGGACAGCGCTGGCCCCGCTCCCTGTGCCCCCCGGAGGTTCTGGGGAGGGTCCCCACTCTTCTGTCCCATTGAAAAAGCCCCCGGGACAGCGCCGGCCCCGCTCCC